GAAACCATGGTGAATTGAGTTTGTTGACTGTTCACACCCTATAACCTGTCCAGCTGTCTCTGGCTCTCAAGGCATCAGACTCTACTTTGAACATGAATTTCTTCTTTCCTTTCTGGAGTCTCTCATTTTCTCCATTGTATTCATTCAGAGGGGAAAAAAAGACCTCATAAATGTCATTTCATATTCCAAGCAATTTGCTATAGGCAACTACACCATTACTTTGTACAAATAAATTTACATAAATCATTATTAGAATGTTTTATCTTGGCAACATTATTTGGTTCCCAGAGCACAAATTAAATGCATGCTTAAAGCAGAATATTTTAAAGTTATTCCTATATTGTTTATGAGATAGGATTAGAAATTCTCATCTAATTTTTCTTTCATAATGGAATTCCTTTAGTTTTCTTTATACATTTAGGAACCACATATATAATTTTCTGGGGGGTTTCTTGAAGCAAGCCATGCTGTAGATGACTAGGCCACATTTGGTTCATTTTTCAGTGACGGGTCCCTTTGATTTGGTGGGTTGGATTTTAAACACTGATTAGGAAAGCCAGGAACTAGGGAAGTTATAATACTGCCTCATGAGCTGATGGCTTTTTGTTTGGTAATATTCCGCAAGCAAACTGTTCTTCGGTTGTGGTTCAGATTTTTTTTTTTAAATAAACACATTTGCAAATAAACTCCCTGAACTTAGTTTCTCCTGGCTGTTTGTGTTGGGAAGGTGCCTGTGGGGATTAACTGCAGGGTACATGGCAAGTCTTCACTGGCTAGAGCTTTACTCCACCCTAGATTTCAAAACGAAATCATTGCTCTCCATGTGAAATAGAGTGCCGCACTTGTCCATGTCAGGGTAGAGAGTGGTAGGAAGGGACTGAACGGGAAGCCAGGAGAATGTACATGTCAGCCTCTGGAGAATCACAAAGTGTCTCCCTGCCTCCCCTTCTCATTAGTGTCACCAAGGGCTGGACTCACTGCTCAGGGCCGTAACTTTCTACCGGTGTGTTGTCTGAGACCAGATTTCCAGGCCTATGTCCGGGAAGGTGAGCCCACGTGGTCAAGGGTGCAATATTTGCAAAGGTGGAACAAGGCAGCCCCATGGAGTGCTTCAGAGCACAGGGCTGTACCAACTGGGTTCAAATTGCCGTGCCAAATCAAAGGCACTGCTTAGCAATACAATGTGAATAAGCTGAACATTACTGCGATTCTGTTACCTCATCTTAAAATGAGATTGGGCGGCACCTATAGCTCAAGGAGTAGGGCGCCGGCCCCATAAACTGGGGGTGGTGAGTTCAAGCCTGGCCCCGGCCAAAACTGCAATAAATAAATAAATAATAATAAAAAAATAAAATGAGGAGATTACATATACATATCTTGCAACTTTCTTTGGGGGATTAAATGAAGCAATGCAGGAAACATCTCAGAGCGCTCTCTGACCATTAGAAAAGGCTCAATAAGCAGTACCTAACATCAACCTTATGGGTCAAACTAGGGTGATATCATGGATTGCCTAACCCAGGTTATTTCTGGGTGTGGAAGAGAGAACTGTGTGATAATTATGTGGGGTCCACTGGCGTATGCTAGAACTGTCCCAGGCATACTGGGACCTGTGTGATAACCCTGCTTCCAGCCCACCACCATTCAAAACTCAATAAAGCAACTAATTTTTTGGTAGCAATTATATCTTACCTATTTTATAATTCATTATATCTTTTAAAGTTCTCAGACCTCTTGTTTGAACTTTTCATCAAGTTATGCGGGAAAATGTAGGACTGGATTAATTACTCTTTAATAATGAACAAACTAGGCTCGGCACCTGTGGCTCAAGCTGGTAAGGCACCAGCCACATACACCTAAGGTGGCAGGTTCGAATCCCCAGCCCGGGCCCGCCAAACAACAATGATGGCTGCAACCAAAAAATGGCCAGGTGTTGTGGTGGGCGCCTATAGTCCCAGCTACTTGGGAGGCTGAGGCAGGAGACTCGCTTGAGCCCAGGAGTTGGAGGTTGCTGTGAGCGTGATGCCATGGCACTCTACCCAGGGGGATAGCTTGAGGCTCCGTCTCAAAAAAAAAAAAAAAAAAAGAACAAACTAAGGCACAGAAAATTATCGACTTTCCCACAGTGACCTAGTGTGACAGGGCAATGGAGACTCCAAGAACTCTGTGAGCTCCTCCATATTTCCCAGCCTCATGGCAGAGAGCAGAGTCATGTGACTAGCTCTGGCCAATGGACTGTGGATGTGAAACTAGCCCATGTCACTTTGAAGGCATTGAAGAATGGCTGTGAGTTCTCAACCCTTTTCCTCCCATGTTGCAGCAATCAGGAAGCCAGGTTTTGAGATGTAGGTAGCACAAGTAGAAGATGCCTAGTACTGCAAATACTGAATGTAGGAGAGACCCACTAGCCAAATACAATTCTGGACAAGTGAAAAATTTTCATTGTATTAAAGACCCTGAGATTTGGGTTATATTTTTCATCATAGTACATTACAGCCTGCCCTGGCTTAGCCAATTTGTAAGACTAGAACCCACACCTCCAACTTTTACCATAGTTATACAACAATATAATATAATCCTACTGGATGAGGGAAAAAAAATCACAAGATTAAATGCCATAGCTTATAAATGGTAAGCCTTCACTGCTTAACCAAAATATTTATTTGGTTTAAAATAAAATAGCTCACACCCAGGGCCAGTAAAAAGAAAAAAGTTCCAAAAGGCAAGGTTTGTTTTAATTTGGTGTTGATTTGTTCCAAAAGTTAGGTTAATCCAAGAATCCTAAATACCTCATTTTAAAGACAATACTAACATGAAATTGCCTCAATGTTGCAGCTAAATTTAGTCAAAAGTTAAAGAGATGAATGGAAAAAGTCCAAGTAGAACGTGATATGTTTGCTGTCTCAACCTAGAAAACCCATTCTTCCCTCTCTTGGCTATTCTAATCCTACTCATCCATCAATCTTATTTTCTTAATAGGGGGAAATTGTCACAGGTCAAATTTTGCAAACACTTGGCTCACACAATTGCTCAGGCCAGAAGTTGTCAAAATTTTTTTTTTAAACACCATAGAGCAAATATTTTACGGTCTCTAACATACCTATTCAGCTTAACCAATATAAGGGCCAAATAGCCATAGATAATCCAGAAATGCATGAACACAGCTCTGTCCCAAAAAAACTTTATTTAAGGACAATGAAATTTGAATTCCACATAAATCTCATGAGGCACAAAAATTTTATTCTTAATTTTTTTCCCAATTATTTAAAAATGTAAAAATCATTCTTAGCTTGTGGTACACAAACAGGCAGTAGGTTGTTCTTGGCCTGTTCTTGGCCCTTCCATAGTTTACTGACCCCTGGCCTGGGCTCAGAAGGGGTAGCAATGACCTGTGGGGCAATTATTGCAGGAGGAGATACACACAGAACTAGAACAACACAGATACTGCTGTTCTAGTTTTTCCACTTCCCAATGGCTGGTGAGCCAGGGCTATGGTTCCAGAAGGCCTGATTCCTCAGTTGGCGAGGGCCTCAGCTCCGGCACACCCGAGCATGCTAAGGCAAGTGGCTTGTGGCCAGGGCACGGCCTGACAGGAAGAACAGATCCTTGCCCTGCAACTCTCAGTAGCACCTTTAAGCTGCTATTTCTGTATCCGGATTGATAAAAGTCTGCACTGGAAAAGAGACAGGGGTGGGTAGGATTTGCTGTGCCATCCCCAAATTAATCTAGGTAGGGGACTCCCCAACCCTGACTGTGGCCCCAGCTTTGGCCCTGAGACCCTCCCTGAATTCTGGCTCTCAGAACTCTCTCAATCTGCTCCCGGAGTCAACTTACGAACTCCTCTTCTTGGCTTCTATTTCTTCCCTTTCAATTCCACTTCTCAGAATTGCACCTCGTGAATCACCAGGTACTGACCTCACAAAGACTCTGGTTCATCCAGGGCCTTGACAAGCCACACAAGCCAGGCAGGGCTCAGAGGGGAGGATGACAGGTGTGTAAGAGAAAACAATCAGGTAGACAGGCAGGAACAGGGTGCAGACGGGCCCAGAGAAGAAGAAAGTTCCCAGCAGGGCAGGGCAGCAGTGACCACTGTTCCCGAAAGGGCACTGCCAGCCAAGCGCCCTCAATAACAGGGCAGGTGGGGCTTTCCCAACCGACTTTACTCCAGGATCCTTTGGGTATCCTGAAAGGAAGTCTGGCTCTGGGTGGGACATGGGATCAGAGTCCCCAGACCTGGGTGGCCAAATGCCTGGGGTCACAGTGGGGTCATTTCCGCCTTCCTGTCAAGGCCCATGCCCTCTGCCTGGCCAAATGATCTACAGTGACAAGGCCCAACTCAGGCCCTTTCCAGTCTCTAGATCCTTCCCTAATGATTTCAGCCCCAATCCTCAAAGTCTCCACATTCCCTGAACCAGAGAACTGCCATCAGAGCTCAGCCCTGGTTTTAAGCTGAGCACCACCATCTGCCACTATCTTGGGAGAGAGTCATGGATCTTTGGCTAAACTGTGAGCTCCCTGAGGACAGGAGCCAGGCTTATACTTTTATATTCCCACCTGTCCCAACAATACACAACAGATACTCAAAAATACTTACAGAACTCAACTAAAAGATACATTGCCAGACAGATTAACACAATTAAAATAAAATATGGGATTCTCGGAAAGAAAAGAATTTAGAGGCACTAAGGTAGAGTTTCTATGTGAAAATTCCCAGCCATGTTCTGGTGGCTTTGTGTGTCTATGACTCTCACCAGAATTTTAAATAAAGATGTGATTCAATGTTTTCAATCATCTTAATGCCTAAATTGGATTGACCACATTGTCAAGTCTGATCAGCTGCACAAATTGATCATTAAGAAGATTGGGGAAAGGCGGGGGAGGGTACCGTTTGATGGAGAAACAATCAATTTGGCATTTGCATTTAAATATAGCTTTGGCATTTCGTTTATTCAATGCAATCTACGAAAGGTGTGGCGAGCTGGGGAAGCCAGTGTGATTACCTGAGTCGGAATGGGTCCAGGAAACCGAGGTCAGCATCGCTCTGTCACAGAGACGACAGCGGGGCCTCCATAATCATGAGCACACTGGTCTTCTTGAGGCTGGTAGAGAAAAGCAATAGGACATCAGAATGCAAAGCAGAGGCAGCAGAGAGAGCCCTCGCAACCACAATGGATGTCATCTCTAGCCTGACTCTAGCAAATGACGCACTTCAGTGAAAAAGCCGATTGTAACAGTACCTCTTTATTTCTTGGATTGTTAATAAAAGACCGAGTCTTTCATGATGGAGTGTTTTTGAAACTGCCTCGTGGGGCAGAAGAGGACCCAGAAATTTGAAAACACATGCCACAGACACTGTAGGATTATTTTATTTTACCACAACTGACATAGAGATCATTTTCTTTGACTACCGTTGCTACTCTCAAACACTTGTCTCTATAAAGAAAAAACATCAGAGCATCAGCGAACACTCAAGGCCAGCGTTCCATCCCCCAGACCAGCCTTGATCCACCGGGCAGACCAAGTACACAGGCTGCAAAGTCCCGGCTTCTCTGTTCTCATGTTGTAAAAAGAAATTACTCTGGCTCTAGTCCTGGGAACTCACTAAATGGGCTGCAAGTTTTGGGGCCACAGTTAACAAGTCATCTTGCAAAATAGGAAAGCTGGTACATGAGAAAGATTGCATAATAATAATAATTTCTGATGGGAGATACTTTTTTAGCCTAGACCTCAGGGATGACAAACCAATAAACTGTCTAGTGAAAAGAACGGTATGATCCTTTGAGCTTTAACGTGAGAATATTGAGAAATATATTCATAGAGCAGTGGTTCCCAAACTGCAGTCTCTGGAATGAGCATCACCTGAGAACTTGTACATGCAAATTCTTGGCCTTAACCTCAAATCTACTGAATCAGAATGCAGTATCTGGAGGTGGGGTCACATATCTGTGTTCCAACAAGCCCTCCATGTGATTCTGATACACCCTAGGTCATTCATTTATCCACCCACGCAAAGATATATTTGTTCTGTTGTTATAAAATAAAATCAGCCTACTCTACCTTCCTGTTTAAGCTCCGATTAAGGACAAAGCTTTGGGCTAGGGATTGGGGAAGGCCAAAGAGAGAAGAAAGATGATGAGTCTCTGCCCCTCAGAAGTGCACCATCCACTCTGAAAGATAAGACCCCCTATACAAGTCACCTGCAGAGAGACAGACTGTTATTTCTTTTAACAGTTTCAGATGCGAAGTTTGTATCTAGTTGGGGTGAGGGGTGGGGATGCCACTAAGGGAAGCGTCCTGGAGGCAATGACAGTGATAATGTGCCTGAGATTGGAACAGGGTTTTGATGGGAAGAAACCGGCAATAACCAAAGCGCAAGGCCTGGGGGTGAGAAAACAGAAGGGCTATTCCAGGGCACCGAGTAACCAGGTCTGGCTGCTACATGAGAAACTCGAAGGTGATCTGAGTGAAGACAGGTTACTTCCAAACACAGGCAGGTGAAAGGTTAGGGGCTCCTCCTCCATGTGTAAAAACCACCCAGCTGGCACCCATGGCTTATGTTTAGAAATTCATGTCTGATAAACTAGGTACCTTAAAGATTTCTACATCCAATTTACTTTTCTGTATTTTTTGCGCCTTTGCACTGCATTTTCCCTAGGGGAGAACCTCAGCTGCTTCAAGGATTAATGGCTGAAGGTTTGCCCAGGAGGAAGAACACACACAAAAAATTTTAAAGTAGGCGCAAGAATCTACCAGTCACAGTAGCCCCAGGCCATTCTGCAAAAGGGCAAAATGTTACCACACCTCGAAAACCCCTGAGGACATCTCTGATGTTAGCTTTCTAAGATACTGTCCCTCAACTTGATAGTGGTGTGACTTAGTTACAAGAAAGGTCCAATTAGAGAAAAAATACCTTTCATGATCAAGAAGGTATGGCTTTTGCTTCTAGAACGTGGACATAAATAAAAGGCTTTATTTCCTGATGTTGGTAGGTGATGCTGGCAGGGGTGCTAAAACTGCGACGGAATACCAAGGCTCCGCTTGGAATGGCGCTGGATTTGGGAATGCACTCTCTGTTTGGATTTGGGAATGCACTCACTGTTTGGATTTGGGAATGCACTCTCTGTTTGGATTTGGGAATGCACTCTCCGTTTGGATTTGGGAATGCACTCTCTGTTTGGATTTGGGAATGCACTCACTGTTTGGATTTGGGAATGCACTCTCCGTTTGGATTTGGGAATGCACTCTCCGTTTGGATTTGGGAATGCACTCTCCGTTTGGATTGGGAATGCACTCTCCGTTTGGATTTGGGAATGCACTCGCCGTTTGGATTTGGGAATGCACTCTCTGTTTGCTTGTCCCAGCTCTGCGGGTCATTATCTGAGGCATTAAGGCCAAGGCTCACAATCCCTGAAATATCAGTTTTTCATCCACCAAGAGGCACTAGCCTGCCCCACCTTCTTTGAAATTTAAGTAAGAAAACCAAGTTGCTGTGAAAATTATAAAGTGCAAACCTATCTAGAGGTACCGAATTATCCTGTTCATTGAGACTTCAGGGTACTCCTTAACACCTGTTACTCAACCGGCCTTTGAAATATAAAAGTGAAATGTTTCTGATGCCCTTGACGCTCTCCTCTTAAATATTTGCACATACAGCAATTCCGAGGAACTAACTTGGCATCAACCAAAGCATTCTCCCAAGAAACATTTCAAGGTAAATCTTTCACTTGTAAATATTTTAAAGATGTTATTCCTCTGACCACAACAGAGCATCCAGTTAGCTCTCAGCAGGTCCTGGTGAGCACAACTCAGTCATCAGCCACACTGACATATACGATGGCAATAATTTATCATCTCTGCAGTAGTTTGGTCCCAGATGGACCATTTACTAATTTATTTCCATGTGTAACTGGAAGAGAGATTAATCAGGCTTCCAACTCGGAAACCTGAATTGTGTTTTATTCCCTTAACAGGCTAACTCTGGGCAAAAAGAAGCTCATATTCACAGAGAAACCAAGAACTCTCTGAAAAAGCCCGTCAGCCTCCTATGCAAGGCTCTTGAATGCAGGCATGCGCACACGCACATCTTTCTTGACAGGGCTCGCTTGTTATGTCAACTTGGAGGGCTGGTTCTCTCTGTAGGTCCTCGTGGGCTGCACACAGAAACTATGTCTGATAGAACTGGGGGCAGAAGTGAGCTCAGAAACATAAGGCCAAATCAGGTACAGTTGCAGCCACATTCATCTCCCTGTCTGCAAGGTCGGTCGGGGTCTCATATTTCCAAAGCTGAAGAGATCTTTTTGCCACAGTGCTGCGCCCAGCTGGCCTGACTACGAAGTGCCCAGGCGCTGGAAAGTATGTACTTTCTTTTTTCCACTCTTTTTAAGGATCTGAACTTGACTGAATTCAGCAGCTGCCATGTCCCCAGCGAGGCGATGGCTAATGAATTGTTAGCTTAGCTTCCAGTTCCCCTAAGCTCAACTCTCAGTCGGCTTTTGTTTCTAACTCTACCCCAGTGATACCAGCCGTTAGTAAAGAGGAGTTAAGGGGATTGTTGTGGGATGGCAGCGTTTATATATAGAAAGGAAGGCAATCCAGACACAGGCAGAAAGCTCTTCTGACGGGTGAAGCCTTAGGTGGAACCCCAGGCCACTTCCAGGAAGGCTCTGCAGACAGGACCATGTAGAGAGGTCGTCAGGGAGGCCACACACTTGAGGCACCAACCAACTGCGTGGCTTTGGAAAAGTCACTTAACCATTCTGGTTCAAGCTTCCCTCCTCTGTAATAGGAGCTTAGCTCACCAAGGTTCCTTGCAGCTTTAAAATCTGAGGATTCTATGAATATGGAAAAAAAAAATCAGCCCTTCACCTGCTTACTGTGTTTGACCAATGCTCAACAGCAGGAAGGCCGTAAACATCTGAGAGAGGCTGAACTACCCAGATGCTTGGTGCTGTGACAGACATCCAGCCCCAGGAAGCTCAGTAGCCAATAAACTCTCTTCACACAAACAACAGAAGCACTTGAAGATTGTTCAACAATGCACATCCTTACAGGGTTTTAAGAATTCAGTTAAATACGTGTACAACAGGGTGATGACGGTATTGGTCTAGGTATGGCAAACCCTTCCAAAGTCATGGCCCTGGTCTTTAATATGCTTACATCTTAGTTAAGGAGACACAGAATTAGTATAATGAAATCTGTGCTATAATCAGACACACAGAAATGGTTATAAGAATGTGGAGAACCCATCACTCCAGTGAGAAAGGAAGGTCTTACAGAAGATCTGTAATTTAAGCTGGGCCTTGCAAAATAAAGACGGGAACAAAGGCATGTGGGAAGTGGCAAGGGCAAAGGCCTAGAAGCTTCCAAGTGTGATTGGGACACAGCATTCAGGACCCCAGGGCAGGGCCTGGGAGGGCCAAGGAAAGCAGGGACTAATGGGGGAAAGCACTGGCACCAGCCGGTGGTCACTGGGAACCTTTAGAAGTTACTGGGCAGTGGAGACGCCAAATGACCTCTGCTTCAGGAAGCTCATTCTGACCATTCTATTACCATTTAGGAGTGGGAATAAGATCACTCTGTACCTTCATTTTTTTCTTATTCATTCCACACTGCCACCATTTGAGAATCCTCAAATTACTTTTTTTTTCCCCCTAAATCAATTTCCTGGCCCTCTGAATGGAAGCAATGAAGTTTCCTATAAGTACTGCCAAGGTTTTACATTCCGACGACTGGCTGGGCCTAGAGCTTTACATTTAGGTTTATATGTTTTTCTATTCTTACGAAAGAGTTAAAATAACATGACATGGACTGCTGTTTTGGTTTGGTTTGTTTCTACACTGGAAAATACTTCTGGATGATGAAAAAAATAAATAAACATTCCAACTGCTGGAAGGGCTGCCTCTAGCATTCCCAAACAGACAGAAGTTGAACTAGCCATCCAAGTTGTTCACTAAAGCTTTTTTGATCTCCAGTTTCAGAGTCCCAGGTTAATGACCCCAGGGTTTCCAGCCTTTCTCAAATGCAATAACAAAAGGTCATGTGAACTCTCATACCAATGGTATTTGGTCCCTCTGCCTTGGCAGGGCGAGTGCAGGGGGCA